CCCCAAAACCCCAAAACCCCAAAACCCCAAAACCCCAAAACCCCTTCATTTAATTCTAAAGAAATAAAGAAAGTTTAATAAATTTAGAAAATTTCATCATATTTCTCATAGATAATTTAAAATACCGAATAATCCGACAATCATTAAGGCTAGAGAACTTAACTGTAAACTGACTCTATGCAATCCAAAGTTATAGCAATTTTCATCTTTTTCATCAATAATTACCTTATAGTCTTCAAAAAAAGGAGGTTTGACTTTGGCAAAGAACTAAGTGCCGTCCGTGAAATATTTGCTTTGGATTACTATTTTATCATCAACATTGAGTCCACAGTTGTCGAAAACATCGGCTTATTTCGAAATGTCGCCAGTTTCTAGGCCTCCCCATATACGATTTGCAAAACTTTTGCATATCCTAATAGTTTTAGCCTTGACATCAGTATACTGAGGCTAGCTTTAATAGCAGCCGAAGCAGTAGTATTGAAGTAGATCATCAAAGTTCTCATGGCAAGTATCCGAAACTAAACTAATCAGACCATCCTTAATTTTTTCATCATGAGCTGTAGTGCAACAGGAGGCTTTGGTGTACTAGTAGCATTCATGCAATGAGGGCATAGATTCCTTGAAAGTATCATTTCTAAGCAAGCATTGTGGTGAGTCATTACATTTCACTTAGGTCATGATTGTTAAAAAGAAAACTACTGCTATCAAAGTGTGATTCTTCGTTATATAACTTTAAAATACCCTTGACATTTTTATCAAATTTATATTATTCCAGAAGTACCAATTAATGTAACATATTAATAATTAATAATCATAAATTTCTAATGAAATCGCAATAATCTAGCAAATAACAAATCAAACCAATTACTTAGCCATTTCAGCCTAAAATTGAGCAAGTGAAAATAGAGGCTATTGTTCCAAGACTGACTAATCAAGAGAAACTCAAACAAATGATAGAAAAATAAAGTCAAGACATATCAAATGTACTTAATTGAAAGAATTTAATATTCAAATAGGTAGTTGGATAAAAACTTGAGCATATTAGAGACGATTTAGTGAGAGAAATAGTTGATGGAGAATAACCTATAAGTTATGTAATACAAAATTTTATTAATATATGAATGGAGTTTAGAGGAGAGATGTAACGTATGTTGTTAAGAAATTAAAAGCAAAGTTTAAGAAGTAACAACTTGAAGAGCAACTACTTCATATAACTATGAGCTAAAATGCTATTTCCAAAAAGGAATATGTAAGTACAGTTCTATCTATATATAACTAGCCATTTTGGATAATAATAAAAAAGTGAAATTTATTTTTGATAGATTAGTAGTTCAAACTAATAATTTAATATATAGGATTAAAAGCTCTAATTAATAAAAGAACAATAAGAAATCATTGAGGAACTATTAGAGCAAGACAACTTACTCAAATAAAAGCTTGGAATTGTTTCACATTTGAAGACTATTGAAAACTATCATGACAGGGCTAACAATGAGAATAAATCCGAAACTGTCAAGAAAGAAAAGAAGGCCAAGTCTTTCATTAAGAGAATTCACATTGAAAAATAGCAAAGAGAGCAGTAAATGCAAAAGCTGTAGCAAGATTAGCAGTAGAAGCTTGAAAAAGAGGAGAAAAAGCGATAGAAAATGGAAGAGGAAAAATAAAAGGAAATAGAGCTGGAGACAAAGGTCAAGAAGTAAGAACTAAAGCAAAAGATTTAAAAGTAGACTGAGGATAGAATTAAGTTCAAAGAAGAGACAGAAAAAGCTATTAAAGTAGTTAAGAAGTAAAAGCCAGTCTACTTAGTGATTGAAGAGAAGTACAAAACTGAGGTTGAGATACCCGAGTTAGAGGAGAAGAAGTAAAAGCTGAAGGAATTGAGAGACATGTTCTAGCCAATCAAAGATTTGAAGATTAATAAACACACTAAAAAGTATGAGGCAACAAGAAAACAAATGGAGACTGAAATAAAGAAGCAAAGAAATTTATCGATGAAGTCACTTCAAGAGCATATGTCTAGATTGAAATATTAGCCTCATCTATCAGATGAATTTGATGAAATGAGAAAATAAATTGATGAGCAACATAGGATTAAGGAGTAAAGGGAAAGGATACATGAAAAGGTTAGTAATTATGCCAAGTTTGTTAAGGAAGTTTACTGGCCTAAAGTAAGCGATGACAAGAGAAATGAATTAGATTAGATGAAAGAGAGAATAAAGACTCAGAAGCTCCAAAGAAGTGCTTCTTGGTCTTAGAAAGTTAAGTAGAATCATCATTATATTCCTCCAGGTGGCAGAAATACAGAGCTAGGCAGATATGGAATGCATGATACTATGGAATTAACTGGAGATACTCGTAATCATAGGACGCTTGGAGGCAGCAATAGTGTCCTAGAAGTAAGATCCCCAAACCAAATTAAGTCAGCAAAATCTAAGTGGGGAGGTGGTAAGAACAATAACATGTCTCTAGATACTCTCATTCTGCACCCAACTTAAAATAATTATAATTCTGAATCTCTGAAAAATCTAGGCAAGTCAAAGGACTATCTGAAGGATTAAAGAATATAGAGAGATCTAGATGAACTGGAGGGTAAGAAAAAGAAGTAGATTGGGAATGATAAAATGTGGAATAACTTTTTGAGTGATTAAACTATCAGTGAGTACAAAAAGATTGAAGATATTAGGAGAGTTGCTGAGATGCTTGAGTCCAAGGCAAAGATGAATGAATAGTATGCAAGAAATACAGCTGATAAGCACAACTCAACTATCAATATTGAGAAAAGTATTGCAGCAAATGAAAAATATCTGGAAGCTATAAAGGTCAAACTTAAGGTTTTAGATCACCTATGAAAACGATTAAACTTTTGACTTATTCTTAAATTGGATTACTACTAAATCTTTTAATTTAGTATTTCTATTTAGAGGGGTTTTGGGGTTTTGGGG